CGGTATTGGTACCGGAACCGAAAATTTTTGAACAATACCCAGCCCTATCTATACATAATTTTGTAAAACAACTTTTCACAGTAGTTTTTGCTGAATCTAAGTAGGTTTGTTTTTAGCTTTTTGTTTTACTTTGTTCCAATTAAAAAGTTAATAAAATACATAAAAAATACCTAAAATCTATGTTCATTATATGACAAAAATTTAAAAAGCTTAAAAGTTGTTTCTGCATGTGGAGAGGAGTCTGAGGCAATTTAAACTCTTTTACTCATTCAATTTTACAGACCATTTGTCAAAATACAAGGAATTATGTTTTCCAAAGAAGCAGACGGTCTCAGTATGGAAGTTTTTCCTCCTTGTTTACACCTAATCATCATCTGAACAGCTGAAGCTGTTTCATTTACAGCCTCAGTGTTGCTCAATCCAATGAATCATCTTGTGCTTCAGATGAAGCTCTGCAGTAAAGAGCCCCAGTGATGTAACTCCAATTTCATGGCTGTTGTAACACACTGGTCCAGCTGTCAGAACGTTTCTCAATCAGGATAACGGGTCAAAAATGTGTGCCTTTGGAGATATGTGGATTTGATTTGTGCAATTTATTCAGAATTGGAAAACTCTGGATTCCCACTCAGTCTGGAAAAATATGTGATTTTCTTTTTTAGAAATCTTTGTATTTACAGAATTTACTCCCCATCTCACCATCATTCAGCCTGTCGGTCCAAGCTTTCCATGTTTATTAGATGTTTCATTGTTTATACTAAGGCAGAATAGAGAATCTGAAGTTTTGACTGAACATCATAAAGAAAAAGAGCATGAATCCATCCTGAAAATTGGCTGCTTAGTTTTTAGTCCAACTTTCTCTGCATCTTACAAGCCCCCCCTTATGAACCCCATGAATTTGACTCTAAATGGATTTATTTACTCTGCTTCATAATAAAAAAACACAAATTCCAAAAATATTTCCCGATCTGCCTCAGAGATGAACCTGGAGTGCACATGTTCCCCTGATTTATAATGGCTCCTGTAAGATCTCCCTCATTCCTCCTCGCTCCTTTTCTCCCGGACCTCTGCTGCCCTGGACCGGACAACACTGGACAATTTGTCCGAACTGCAAATGCTTGTGTTGTTTTGATTGGAAGTCAAACAAGCAGCAGCCTGTTCCTAAAGAAAACATTAGCGGTGGAACGCCTCCCTCCCTCCCTCCCTCCCTCCAGTGCCGCTAGCTGCAGACAGGCGGGGGGGATCCGGTAAGGAACAGAGCTGAACTGGGAGGGAGGTGCAGGAGGCAGGCCGGACCCTGTGAACGGGCCATCTGTGAAAAGGAGGCATTGTGCGTGGGCTTCATCAGAGTGCACTGACCTCAGCCCCCCCCTCTTCCCTCAACACACAAACACATAAATGCAAACACACACTGCGCTGATGTCATGCGGATCCAGTTTACCCAAAGATCAAGAATTCACACATTTATTTGCCGATGCAACGAGGCGGCCAGTTCTTCCTACCTTTGACGACACAAAGAGGAAACTGACTTGCATCTCAGTGGGATCGAAACTTTATCACAAGGTTTCAACACCAGCATGTTGTTAAAAACAACCTGAGCTGATTTTTTTTTTCTATGCAGAGAAGCAGATGTCAGTGAGCAGCAGATTGGATTTGTGGGCAACAATTTGTAAGTCTGGGATCAGGAGCAAAGAGGGTGACATAACTAAATAGTTTCTACACATGTGCAACAGCTCCCTCTACTGGAATAAGGTCACACATCAAAGATGCTTTACTTGAAGCTGCTCAGTCTCTGAGGTGGTGCTGAAGGGCTTTAGAGCAACTAGTAAATTATTTAAGCTATAAATTTAATGTTTTTCTGTCAGTGCAACACAGATATCAGGGGATTTTGGAAATATTAGTGACAGAAAATAACACCTCAAGTGTGTTCAAACAATGTTCTTACGATTTCCTCTTTTTCTATCTGCTTTAGGTGATGCATCTGCAGAGAGAGAGCGGAACGGCCGAGGAACACAGTTTGGACAAGGAGGCGAGGAAGTGGGCGAGCCGCGTAGCACGAGAATACAAAAGCATCATCCATACACAGAGGGTAAGGGGGGGAATAAACACGCCGTTGACCAAGATTTCTCACTGAAAAAATAACGTTGCTTTCATCATAAGGAGCGTGAATTTAAAGGCACAACTTTTAATGTTCATTAAAATGAAAGGAGGGATTTCAACTCACTGACATGCTTTATTACACACATTATTTTTATTTTTAATTTCAAAAAGTTTATTTCAAACCTGCACACATTTTACAATACATATAACTGGCCCAGTGCTCCCTGTCGCTGCAACACATAAAGGCTGAGAGGCCATGCACAGGCCCAATCGAAGTGTTATACATGTATATAGTTGACACAGATATAGGTGCAGTACTTGCAAAAACCACCGAGGGGCAGTGATCAACAATCAAGCAGAAATCCCATCCACTGTATTTATAGAGCACATTTATAGGAAAAATACGCGAAAGGAATAATCAATGGATCATTATCTATACCTAAAACTAATAGGTTTGCGATGATTTAATGAATTTAGTGTTAATCAGTAAAAAAATTAAAATAATAATTTTCGTCGC